TGAAGGATATGTTTACTTCATAAAATGAGTCTAGGAGAATTCCATCTTTTTCTATTTCCAGAAATAGTTCATGTAGCATTGGTGACAGTTCTTCTCTGAATGTTTGATAAAATTCACTTTTTTTTGATTGGACGTTGCTGTATTACTTTTTCAATTTTTCTTTTGTAATGCATCTATTCAGGTGTTCAATTTCAGTTTCTGTCAGTTTAGGTAGGTTGTGAATTTCTATGTATTTGTCCATTTCCTCTAGGTTTTCATATTTGTTTGAGTATAGTTTTTCATAGTATTCCAATGTTAGCCTTTTTATTTTAGTTGGTTCTGTTGTGATGTTGCCCGATTCATCTCTTATTCAGATTATTTGTGTCTTTTCCTTTGTTAGTTTTACTAGTGGTTTGTCAATTTTATTGACCTTTTCAAAGAACCAACTCCTTGTTTTGTTGATGGTTTTAATTGCTTGTTTTTTTCTATCTCATTTATTTCTGCTCTAATTTTTTTCTTTTTTTATTAATTTTAATAGACATTTACAGAGGTTTTGGATTTCCATTCATTCATTGCTGCACTTTTCTGCTCTAATTTTTATAATTTAAGGTTTTTTAGATATTGATAAATTTTACTGATCTTAGATAATAGTAGCTAGGAGTTCCTTAGAAGTGGGAATAATGAGACTTCATCTCATATACTTTGGATACATCATCAAGAAGTATCAGTTCCTGAAGAACAACTCATGCTTGGTAAAGTAGGGTATGAATTATAAAGAGGAAGATCCTTAATAAGGTCGATTGGCAGAGTGGCTGCACCCATGGTCTCAAACATAACAACTGTGAGGATGGCATAGTTGGACACTGTGAAGCACTGTTAAGATACTGGACAGTGTTTATGTTGTATGTAGAGTTTCTGTTAATTACAACAGATTCAAAGAATTAAACAAAATGATAATGCTTATTCTAATTCTGCTGCTGTTGTGGTTAGGTATCTGTTGTGTCACACTCTGTTCTGCATAACTAGAAATGACCAAATGCCCTCTGAGGAGGAAAGCTTATCTGAGACCCCAGAGAGAGTTCTTGAAGAAGCTAGTACTTATTGAGCACTCTTCTTAAATTCTGATGGCCTGTCCCACTCACTGCCTCTAATTAGGGTGTGGGCATGTGGTCCCTGGGGCTTCCATATTTGCCTAGGGTCTGCAACTATGTACACTTTAGATCTCAAACTTTAAATTGCTTCTGGGATCAGCAGGGTCTCTTGTGGGGTAATTGGGAAATCAAGTTGCCCAATGGAGCCCATGACTGCTGCTCGAAGATTCCTTTTAATTGCCGGGGGAATGCATCCTTAGGACTTCTGGGTATTATACCAGGACAGTAAGTCTTCCCTACGAAGGGTCTAGAGCTAAAGCACCCAGGATTCAGCCAGCACAGCTAAGAGGAATAAAGTGAGAGGAACACCTCTGGAGGCTCAAATTCCCACAAGGATTTAGAAGGGAACAGGAGCAAGAGGGTCTCAAAGGTAAAGGGGGTCAAGTAGGAGAAGGCCTGGGCCTTTTCCTGATATCTAAAGTCTGGCCTAGAAAGAAGGAGGGGCTTGAAACTTGAGATCAGGAGTCTAGAAAACAAGAATGCTAGGATGTAGTAGGGACTTAGGTGATAGCTGATAGTGATGCCTTCTGCAGATCATGTCTCTGAAATCGCCTTCCACTCTGTGTATCTTTAAACTGTAGCTAATTCTGAGTATCTGATCCTCTATCAGAGAGGGACAGCTGTTTATAAACCTGACAATTATAACTGTACTGTTGCTGTGTTTCCTAATTTTACTTACAAATATTCTAGAAACAATACCTTTTTGGAGAGATACTGGCTTTCCTTGCTCAGCTTTTCAATAGGATTGTTTTGTAGAGGTGGCATTGTTTAAGGTGGCAAGCATGCAGGATTACAGATTTTCCCTTTTTTCTAGACGAAAACTGTTCCCCAGAAAGGCTGTATGAGAGTGTATGGGACTCTACTGTGCTGCATCCTTTTTCTCAGCTGCTCCTGATTTACAAAGACAAGCTGAGGTTCCACATCTGCAGGGTACAATTCCACAGGTAAAAGCTGGTCTCCCTCTCTGTGCTCCTTGGCCTACCTCCCACCTCCCATTGCTCCCTCTTTTGGGTAGAAATTTCCAGAAGTCTTTGTTTCCTTCTATGCTGAGTTACCTCCAAGACTGAAAGAACTTTATTTGCCACTAAAATTATCTGATGATGACTGATGACTGATGATCATTTGATAAATTCAGATTTCCCCTGAAAAAAACGCATATGTGCAAGTTGGTGCACACACACATACATACTATACCATAAGGAACGGGAAGCTGCCTTCACCAAGAATGGGTCTTTGTCAACTGAGAATAATATTGGAAAATCAGAGGCAATTGCCAAAATTGGGACTGTGTGGTGCACATAGGGTCTAGAGAGAAGGGACTTGTTCAGGCCACACAGCACATGCCAAACACAAGCAGAGGTAGGTCTCAGGGCTCTGATATCAAGTGTAGAGTCTTTCCAGGTTTTTGGTTCAATTCAATTGAACAAACAAAAACTGGAAAATGTCAGCAACTTTTAGGTGCCAGGCACTATGACTGCCACAGATGTAGCTCTGATGCAGGTGAGACGCTCTGCATTACTCATTCTCACACCACATTATTCATAGGTAGAAGTCCTGTGTGGACTAATCTGGTGGGAGTGGACAGATGTGGTTCCTTTATCAGAGACCACAGCACCTCCTTTCGTTATTAAGTCTTATTTGTGACACTGGCTGGGAGGGTTACTTTTTCATTTTCTGGAGGGGATATAGGAGAGCCACTGGGAGGAAGGTGGGTTACTTTATAGGAGAGATTCATGGTAGGACAACCAGGAAGGGTCTGGATTGAGCAAATAGGGATGTCTCTAGTGTTTTATTGAGGAATGGTGGATGTGCAATGGGACTGTACAGGAAATACAACGGAGTCCATGGATGCATAATGGGAGAGGGTTTTTTTCTGGAATAGATTGGTCTTTTTTTTACAGGGTAAAGTTTTGTCCTCCTTACCCTGAGGTAACACTGGACGATGTCTGGAGATTATTTTTTTTTTAATTATTGTTGCTACAGTTATAGTGGGGAGGGCAGAAGCTATTAGTGGTTGAGGATAAGAACCCTGCTAAATATTCTGTAGTGCTTTCTGTAGAATAGCCTTCCCCCGCAAAAAAGGTTATTGCCTCAAATGTCAACAGAGTAATTTTAAAACTCTGGCTAGATTCAGGGTGAGAGATCCACTCCTGACACAACAGCTGGAATAAACCTTCCCATTGACTGCAGAAAGGACATTGATAGACAAGAACATAGGGCAGAGAATGCATCCAAGCTGGGACTGGAGAATATTTTTAAAATCTGTCAGTAAAAAAAAAAAAATCTATCAGTCAAAGGAATGAGATGGCTGTTTGGTGAAAAGAACTTAGAACTGAAGTCTCAAATCCTATCCCACCTCCATTATTTAATTTTACACAGTAAATTCTTTAGCTCTTCTAAGATTTAGTTGCTTCATCTACAAAACTAGAAGCACAATATCTTTTCCATGAGATGTTTCAAAGAACATAGCACAGAGTAGAAGTTCATGAATATTAATCATTAACTTTATACTATTCATCAATTCCTACTCTCTCACCTCACCATAATCATTAAGAAGTTATAGAAATATGTGTAGTCCTTTGGTGGCACAGACGGTTAATATGCCTGGCTGCCAACTAAAAGATCGAAGGTTTGAGTCCACACAAAGATGTCTCAGAAAAAAGCTCTAGCAATAGACTTCCAAAAACCAGCCACTGAAAAACCTATGGATCACAGTCTTCTACAAGGAGGACATGAAGCAATTTAAGAAAACCTACCAGTTCACACAATTTGATGGGTGGAGGGAGGGATGGGTAAATGAAAGGGGAAAGATCTGGTGTGAAAAATAATGTATATGAACTTTGTATGTTAACAAGTATGTTGTTGTTGTTGTTGATGCCTTCAAGTTGAGCATGACTTATAGCGACCCTATGAACAAAAGGCCTGACATTTATCAAAGTTCATAGAGTTTCCAGAGGCATGTTGTTTAGGAAGTGGATGCCACAACTGCTTCCAAACCTGTCTCAAACGTCTCAGACTAGGAGCTCCACCAAACATCATCCACCATGGGCATCCATTATGGCATCTGACACCCCAAGGGCACAAGGTTCAGCATCACAGCAACCCCAGGCTACCTCAGCACAGCACACTGACAGAAAAGTGGTGTATCACTAAGAAGAATGTTCCTCCAAAATATAATAACAACCAACTTTAAATACAAAGGGCTCCCTGAGGTCTTGTTGACTCTAAACAAGAGGCTTAAAGAAAAAACCCAACCAATATAATATGTTGTTGTTGTTGTTGTTATGTGCCATCGAGGCGCCTGTGATGTATAGCAACTCTATATATAACATCTCTGAATCCTTGCTTGTCCTGAGCCAGCCTCACTAATTCTGACACACCAATCCCCATTGCCCCAGATATTGTATCAATCCATCTCATCCAGGGTCTTCCTCTCCTGTGCTGTCAACCTTTCCGAGCATGATGTCCTTCTCCAACGACTGGTCTCTCCTGGCCATGTGCCCAAAGCATGTGAGGCAGAGCTTCAAAATCCTAGCCTCCGAGAAGAAATTTGGTTTCACCTTCTCCAAGACAGAACGATTTGTTTTCTTGGCAATCCATGGTATGTTCAAGACTCTTCTCCAGCACCACAACTCAAAGGCATCTATTCTTCTGTCATCCTTAAAAAATCCACTAGCTCAAATCTGAATTTGTGAGGTTCTCATTCAACTCTGGTTTGTCATAAATTCTATTTCAGTTCTGACCTTCTCTCATCTAAGACATAAGAAACACCTTCTACCATCTCTTTCTGTCACTTTCTCCACACATATATGTCCTCTTATTACGGATCAAGGACTTATTATATATTGGATATCTAGGAATCATCTCAAGAAAGCCCGAAGTGCAGCTTTGTACCTTGCCAATGACAGAGAGAATACACCATGGAAAAAGTCAATTTGACTTCCGCTATAACAGAGTTTCTTCTCTTGGGACTCTCTGATCACCCAAAGTTGGAGAAGATTTTCTTTGTCCTGGTCCTGCTGATGTACCTGGTGATCCTACTGGGGAATGGAGTCCTCATCTTGGTGACCATCCTAGACTCCCATTTGCACACTCCCATGTATTTCTTCCTGGGGAATCTTTCCTTCCTGGATATCTGCTACACAACTACTTCTGTTCCTCTGGTCCTGGATAACTTTTTGACACCTCGGGAAACCATCTCCTTCTCAGCCTGTGCATTGCAGATGACACTCTCCTTTGCCATGGCAGGAACAGAGTGTCTGCTTCTGGGCATGATGGCATTTGACCGCTATGTGGCCATCTTTAGCCCCCTTAGGTATCCCATGATCATGAGCAGGACTACCTATGTGCCTATGGCTGCCAGCTCCTGGGCTATTGGTGGTGCTGCTTCTGTGGTACACACATCCCTGACAATTCGTTTGCCTTTCTGTGGGGACAACGTCATCAACCACTTCACTTGTGAGATCCTGGCTGTTCTAAAGTTGGCCTGTGCTGACATTTCCATCAATGTGATCAGCATGGGGGTGACAAATGTCATCTTTTTGGGGGTCCCAGTTATGTTCATCTCTGTCTCCTATGTGTTCATCATTGCAACCATCCTGAGGATCCCCTCAGCAGAAGGGAAGAGAAAGGCCTTCTCCACCTGCTCTGCCCACCTCACTGTGGTGGTCATCTTCTATGGGACTTTATTTTTCATGTATGCAAAACCTAAGTCTAAAGACTCACTGGGAGCAGACAAACAAGACCTTTCAGATAAACTCATCTCTCTTTTCTATGGAGTAGTGACTCCCATGCTCAACCCCATCATCTATAGTTTGAGGAACAAGGATGTGAAGGCTGCTGCAAAAAACCTGGTATCTAGGAAACAATTTAACCAATGACAGTGGTGTCCTTGGAATGCTCATCTATGTGCAAGCAAGAACAGCCTATCTTTGTAGCTGGAATGGTCTTTCACTCTAAAGTCCATTTTTAAGAATGTCTGAATAACTATTGTTTCTTTCCCAAGTTCTGAACATATATTTTATAGTATCAAAGGATAGCTAACTTAATTCATGTTGAATATAATGAAGACTCTTTGGATTCATATCAAAACTGCACAAAACAACCGACATTATGACAAACCAAATAGCTCCTACTGTGTCTAAGCTGTAGAGTTAATAGAGGGAAGTAAAATGGATTTCATAGCAATTTTGCTACCACTGCTGGATTCATCAGAAAAGTCAGAGATTCAAGGAGGAAAGAGACTTTTTGGACCATTTATTAGGTTTAATTTGTATGAATAAGCTGGGAAAAGAAAAACAAATTCTTTATCATGGTAGCTTTTGGGCAAGAATAATCTTTTTTTGATAGTTTTGAAATATCTTCTTAGCTAAAAAGAAACTGAAGCTATTTTTCCTTATATATTGCTAATAAATAAAATGATTAAACTAAAAAATGACTATGAAGTTCAAATATTCACATTCATAACTTATAGCATTTCTTAACATCCTGTGAGATACTAATGAATTTTCCTTATTTTTAATTTATGTGTTTGTGTGTTTGCATGTTGGATAAATAGGCTTTAAAATTTCCAACCTAAATTTTACAAGTTTCTTTGCTCCAGAATTCTCAGAGCCTTTAATATGCTAAAATTATTATGATGTTATGAATGTGCAAGGGGATATTACATCTTTAGTGCTTCTTGAGCCTCTACACTTCAGCAATGCAAAGATTGGGAAATATTTTCTTACCTATGATTTTAGACAAATTGTTTAACCTCAATCAGCATTATTCATATTTCTAATCCTAATCACTTAATTTTATGTGGATTAGATAAGATACTACAAATAAGTGATTGTTGTTGTTGTTATTTGCTGTCAAGTCAGAGATGACTCACATCTGATCCTCCAGCAGGTTTTCAGAGGCTATAAATCACACAAGAGGAGTTTGCTCATCTTTCTCCTGCAGAACACCTGGTGGACTAGAACTGTGTGTCTTTGGGTTGGCAGAGCGACTCCTTACAACTAGGCCACCAGAACTCCCTAAGTGATGAATGCTTAGCATTAATAGCTAATAAGATGCTATTATTAGCATTGTCATTAATGCTGCTATAGTGTTGTGTGTCAAGTAAATCCCTAAAACATAGCTCCTGTGCAGAACAATAAGTACAGCAAACATATGAGAAATTCAGAAATGACTTTGGATGGAAAGAAGCAGTGCTTTGGTGAGTTGTATTAAATTCAAAAGAGGTGGCTGAGTTGGTAAAGAGTTGTTCTGCCAATCCAAAGAGAGGCAGTTCTGGTCTTATCTTCTAGTTCCCTTTAGTCTGAACAGTCCCATTCCTTCCACTTTTTCAAAAAATCAATGGACATTATTCAACTAAACAGATCCTGAGCTTTACCTAGAGCATCAGCATCATTATTTTTAATTCCAGCAATAGGAAGAATAGGATCTTTTACATTTAAAAAATCACACTGTGAAAAAATGAGGCTGCTAAGCTAACACTATTTCTCCAGGGCTACTGAGAGCAGTTTGATGTAGAGAAACTCTTTAGAAGTCCTGTTTCCTGTTAAATTATCTTCTACTCACTTCTTTTTCTTTGAAGTAATGCAATGATATCCTTTATAAATGACACATATCCTTTATAAAATTATCCTTCTATATTACACTTTTATCATGTAGTTATTAAGTTAGAAATTACATAAAATTCTTTCCTTCTGGAACAATGACTACTCTGTCTTATACTCCAATATCACATGTTCGTTACTCTAAAAAAAAATCGGGCACCTAGAGAGCTCTGGTGGCCTAGTGGCAAGAAGCTGTACTGCAATCCCAGAGGCATGTGATTCAAATCCACCAGATGCTCTGCTGGAGAAGGAGGGGCCATCTCCTGCTGTACCAGTCAGATCCAATTTGATGGTATATACACACAAAAATAATAAGATCAATGAAAAATTAAAAAAATTTAAAAACCAGACATATCTCTCCTGCTACATGCTTTCAGAAAGTAAAACAACATCAGTCTCCTCTTGTAAAGATTTGCAGCTGAGGAATTTTCTCACTGACCTAAGTGATCATTGTTTTGGAAAAAATTATTGATCTGGTGCCATGCAACATGGAATCTACTTCTAAAATTTTCCAGATGAAGTGTAACCAGAATGGTTAAACTTTTGGGCAACAGAAATGTTACTATATTATATTTACTTAAACAAATATACCATTTCAACTTTATAGTGCTAGATCAGAAGTAAAGTTTTAGGTATGTAGTTCAAGCCTTCCAGACACTCCATAGAAGAAATACGGATAATCTACCTGTTAGAGGGTTGGTTCTGAATCAGTTCTGAGTCAACAACAATCTATCTTATCTTTGAAGTTTATCAATAAATTCTTCAAGTGTTCTCCAAGAAGGGATATGTCATACACATATCACAAATTATTGATGAGTTTTCTTGCAATTCTGATGACACAATCTTCTTCATACAATCCAGATTCTTGGCCCATTTGTACAGATTTAACCCTGTAGTTATAGTACAGGGTTCAGGTCTTTTGTTCATAGGGTTGCTATGAGTTGTGCTCAACTTGACAGCATTTAACAGCAACAATGAAAAGATACAACCTAGATACACATCTTTCTTGATTTTAAACAATGCTTTTGCGTTATCAATAAAACATTATTAAACATCTTTCTTGTAACAGCAATGATGTCTCTTCCTGCAGTTTGTTCAGAATCCAGCTTGAATTTCTAGCAGTTCTCTGTTAATGTACTGCTCCATCCACTTAAAAATTATCTCCAGAAAGGTATTAATTGATGCAATATTACTAATTTTGTCCCATTTTTTTCTGCATTCTGTTGGAAACTTTGGGGTTTTCTTTTTTTTCCTGTTAGGGCATAAAATGTACCTCTTCTAATTGGTTGGCCAGGTATCTAGCTTCCAAATGAATTCCAGATGAATGAGCATGTCCAGTACTGCATCTGTTTGTTGAAGTCCCTAAATTAGTGTTGAATCAATCCTGGAGCATTATTTGTAGTCAATACCTTCAATGCAGCTTGAATTTCTTCCTTTGGTATGATTGGTTCTTGCTAATATGAAACGTCCTGAAATGGTTGGGTATTGAGCAATTCTTTTTGGTGTAGTGACTGGAGAATATTTTCTCCATCTTCTTTAGAGTCTTTCTACGTCATTCAATATTTTGCCCACAGAATCCTATTGTTTTACTATTTGAGGTTTACAAATGACATTATTACACATTTATTAAACCTTTGAGAATCACAGCCCAGCCAACTAACACATATTATGGAGGAGTACAGTATAATCTGGGATCATTTGTTATCATACTAAGGTCTTTATCTCATAGAAGCAACTTGATTTCCCCCCTCTAATCTTTCCTTTTGCTACAATTTTCAAAAGCAGAGGAAAAAGTTATAATTTGAGAGTTTTGTTCCAGGAGCCCTGGTAGCATATATATAATGTATTGTGTTGCTAACCAGTGGCTTGAATCCACTAATTTCTCTGTGGAAGAAAGATGGGCAAAAAACTACAGCATCAGAACCTCTCTGAGTTGTTGTTGTGTACTGTCAAAACGAATCATAGCTGATCCTCCAGGGGCTTTTCAGAGTCAGTAAATTTCATGGGAGGAGAGTGCCCATCTTTCTGCAAGAGAGCAACTGGTGGATTCAAACCATGTTCCTTTGGGTTGGCAATACAGCTCCTTATCACTAAGCCATCCGAGCTCCTCTTTAAGTTGGTAGTTTAACACAAATCGTTTGCATCAACCAGGGACCTCTTCTGTCCATGAAACAATTTAACCAAAAAAAAAAAAATATTGACCGGAGTTAATTCTAGCTGATAGTAACCCTACAGGACAGAGTAGAACTGCCCCACAGAATTTCTAATGCTGTAAATCTTCACAGAAGGCAGCTAAGTCTTTCTCCTATAGAACAAGCTATGAGTTCAAACTACTAACCTTTCAGTGAGCAGTCAAGTTCTTAAACATAGCATCACCAAGGCTCTTTTTATGAATAGAAACCCTTTCATTTTAGACAAGCACATGGCTCCCAAGCTGGACATTGTCTTTCCCATCCTTACTTGTATCTACATATGTTAACATAAACCAGGATAGGAATGGAAATGATGTTTTCAACTTTTAAGTTAGATCCATAAGATCAATTTCTCCACATTCTCTCAAACTCTATTCTTAGGGTTGAAAGAGAAGAGCTCTAAACATGAGCATGTTGAAGAAGGTTGGTCAATAAGTGATGGTGGTCAAGAGAGCAGAAAGACATGGAGGCAGGCAATATTGGGTAAAAGGTAGCAGCTCTGACCTTAGGGCTGAAGTAGTCACTATTAGAGTCTTCCTAACCCTTGATGAGAAGGACTGATTAGAGCTTCTGGGGAAATAATTGACTTTCTGGTAAACAAAGATGGGAAGGTGTAAAACATTAATATGTAGAATACTGTTTAAAAGTGCAAGATGTATTGTCACAACAGAAATGGCTGGAACCTACTGATAATAAAAATTAGAACCCACATGGATGGTGTCCTGGGATCTCTGACTCAGATTTTATGAACACAAGAAAAGTTTTCATTGGAAATGACAAAACCCAGATGTTATGCATTAACTTCACTTTGGAAGAATTATAAAAGTTGCACAACCAAATTTCTGCTCCATTTCTTTTTGGAACTCGTGAGAGTCATGAATCTTTGTGTCTGTAACTGTTTTCTGTTCACTGTTATGACTTTCCTTTCTCAGCCGTTTCATTTTATGCCTCTCTTGGAACCCAGGGCTGCTTGTGTCCTGACCTTCACCCTCCTTCTAATCCAAGCACTTCATCGTGGATATTCTCCTTCAGCTTGATTATCTCAATCCTTCTGTGAGCTGAGTTCTTTAATAGTGCATCCAA